ATAGAAGTGAGCTGATAGATAGTCTTCTGCTGTGTGTTCAGCACATATCTGCTGAGTATTCTGATGTAATACTGAGAATCATGGAAAAAGCTGTAGAAGTGGATACTATAACAGATGCAGGTGCAGAAGCAGTGCGGAGAACATTCATAAACTTATTTATGAAAAAGAAAGAGGGTGTTTTGCATTCTCTAGTTAGAATTCTAGACAAAAATGGTATTTGCAACTTGCATGATGTGCTATTGTACGGTATACATACGGAGGTAAAAGACATAAACGATCTTGTAAGAATATTCGGCGCACAGATGGAAAAGTACCAATGCACAGCTGATGGTGCAACCGAGTATAGAATGTACTTTGTGCAGCTACTCTTTATAGCCAAAGAGTACAGTATCTTATCAGCAGAAGCAGAAAGTGAAAGAAACAGACTAATTGAAGAAATTGTCAAAGAATGCAGAGGGGAGAATGACCAGTTGACTATAAATACAGTAGACAGAATATTCCAGCATAAAAGCACACTTTGTACAATCTCTACACTTTTTTATACGAGAAAACTAGATGCAAAGAACCTGGATATAGAAGTACAAGAAAGTATATTTTCAGCCACTGCTTTGATTTATGGAAAGATTTGCTACGATTTGTTCTTGCAGGCAGTCGAAGAGAAGCGAGAAACAAGCTCGTTCTATGTGCACTGTGCTCTCTTACAGTCGCCCGAGCTAATACTAGAAATAGACAACAAATTCTTTGAAGAAGAGAATAGCACAGAAATCACCCAGTACACATGCTTCTTGTATAGTCAATATAACCCGTATTGGGAAAAAATAAAAAGAAGGTACAGAAAATGCATAGAACACAACAGAGAGAATGCTATTAGCAGAAATAAGAAAAATGAAGAAAGAAAAAAGAAAAACAGAGGAAGATTAGATAGCATTTGCAATGCTTGCAGAGTGCAGAGAGCGGCTGAGCTGTGTGCTGAGAAGATAAAAAGTAAAAGCATGCTGTGGATGGTGGCAGAAGGAGATGCAAAGAGTATTAGGAAGTATCTCGATGAAAATGCACGCAGCCCAAGCTCGCTGGCTGTTTTTCTGGAAAAGATCTATCCGAAAATAAACATAGAAGTCAAAAGTATGCGATTATTTGACCATTTGGATGGGGGTGAGTGCTTCAGATACCCAGAGAGCATCAGACTGCTTCCTAGGCTAAAATATACAGAAGAAACAGTTGGAAAGGCGAAAGATGTTTTCTCAGAAGCAGAGAACGAGAAGAGAATCATTTGGCTGCTTTTTCTTGAGTCGGTCATAAGAGACATGTACGAGACTGAGAAAGTATTAACAGATGATTTTCATTTGCAAGTGCTAATAAGAGCCCCCGGAATAACAGAGAGAATATGCAAGAGTCGTTCGAGAAGAAGAGAAGAAAGAATAGTGCAGCTATCAATAGAAATATTAGAAGGAGCATTGCAGGTAACAGAGCAGGAAGAGAGAAATGTAATGCACGGGCTGAGGATGGTAGAAAAGTCTACAGAAGCAGAAACACTTTCAAAAGACATCGAATGCTATCTCAGCAAAAAAAGAAAAAGCACAGACTTCGAAGCATTCCTGAAAGGAATCAACTCACCGATAAAAAGAGAAAAAGAAACACCCTTTACGCAGTGTCTTTCCAGGGCCAAAGAGATCATAGGAATATTTTACTGCACAGATGTATACAATAGCGCACTCGACGCTCCATTTACGCCAATAGAGCTAGTAAGAATGAAAAGTGTTCTATTTCATGAGGTAGTGAAACTGTCATTGACAGAGCAGAAGATAGTAGAAGAATATTTCAACCATAAAGATCTGTCGTATGAGAAACACCTCAGGAGCAACATGCTCATCATGGAAGAAGGCGGAAAAGTAAAAAAAATAGTGGATGCTCACTACAATGAAGATCTCCAGGAAATATCCACAGGCATAAAAATAGAAAATGAGTGTGTATATTTAGTCAGTGCGCTAATGCACACAATATATCCAGAGAAATACTTTTCATTTCTACTCCTTACAAAAGCAGTAGCACAAAAAGAGAGCCTAGCGCCGCTAGAGATATACGCTATAAATCATGCATTTGAATATTTATATGCATACGACCGAGAGCTATTCAGAGAATTAAGAAGACTATGTGCAGAAAAATCAAAGCCAGCAGAAACAAAAGGTGCAGTTAATAACAGAAGTATGCGCCAAAGAGACAGCTCTGCAGATGATAGGAAAGACAAGAAAATAAGCAGGGAAAATATAATGTGCTCTAACTCAGTGGATAACAGCTCGGACTCACAGCTAGCAGTACCAGAAATATGCCTGAAATTGAAAAGACACGGAGCACTTTCAAAATCCAAACAGAGGATAATTCTTGCAAAATACCAGAACGAGTTTTTTACAAGATACTACAACTGCAGAAACATGGAAAAAGTAATCAGCGAGTATTTTAAAGGCCTGCTTCCCATTGCATCACTGAACATGCTTGTTTTTGTGTGCGATATGCCAGCTACAACAGAAGATGTCCTAAAAAGAGTGCCATGCACATCGTCACAGGAGTTTCTGAATATCTTCTACTATGCAGACCAGAACATTAGTCCTCCTCTGTCATACTCTTACTGTCAAATAGCAGAGATGATTAAAGTAGATAGAAAAAGTATGCTGCAGAAGGACATAGTACAAGCAGCACAGCAGAAAATAGATCAAAGTACAGATAGCCAAAACAAGCAAAGTGAAAGTGCACATAGCCAAAATAGCACAGAAAATAGTCTATATAGTGAAGGTATAAATAGCACGAGAAATAGCGGGCTGTCCTATAGGAATGATGCAATAGACATGTACAACAGGAGAGAGTGGGACAATGGATTTATTACTACTCCGCACGCCTCAAAGGATAGTAGTGCACTTCCCGATGTAGATAAAATACTGAAGGCAGCGAGCAGGCTTACAAAATGGACAACTTCAGTTGATAAAAGTGATGAAATTGACTTTCTGTTCTCAGACAGCATGCTGTTCAACAGATCGCAAAAGTATGTAAATTTTCTGCAGTCTAAAAAGGTGATAGAAAGATTTAGGTTCATTGACTCAATAAAAACAGGAAAAACATACACAGGTAGCAGAGAAATAGAAGAGATACTGTACATCTGCACAAGAAAGAAAGACAGAATTGCGTGTGCTCTTGAGAAGAACAGAACACTGACAAAAGACGGGATATACTGCACGCTCACAGCCTTGGAAAAAAAGTGGCTGAAAATGCCAGCTGAGTCATTCTACATGCACAATAAAAATAAAACCGTGGTGTGTGAAATAACAAAAACAGACGAAATAGCAATTGCAGCCACAAAAGAGAAAAGAAAGAGAGAGATAGCAGCAGACCTCCTACTTTTCAAGATAGAGCAGGGCATTCACACTTTGAAAAACCCATTTCTACTTTTGGCAGACATAGAAAGAGAGTGCACAGAGCAAAGAGATAAAAAAACAAAAGCCACTGAAAGTGAATGTGAGGGGATTGAGGTGCCAAGAGTGCAAAATAGCCATAAAAAGTGCAAGTACAGCTTGAACACTAGCTTGCTCTCTAAAATAACAGCGGCTAAAATCAACTACATCCTAAATGAGTTTGAGAATAAGCCCATCGATATACTCAATGACCATGTAAAGCCTGCATCGCTCATCGACTTCGAAGAAAACAGCCTGCGAGTCACAGAAACCCTGGCAAAGACGTGTCTGACTATCTTCAACAGACATGCAATGCACTCGACTAACTATCCTGCCATCTCGCTGCAGCAGAAAGTGAAAAACAAAATGCTGCAGAAGGAGGAAGAAGCAGCAATGGAAATGGAGGAGTGCAGAGCCAGACAGTACACAAAAGTAGAAGAAACAGCACGTGCCCTGGGCATCAGTTTGTACATCCAGCTGGCAGAGAGAGAAAGAAAGCCACAGCACATTATTTCACTGATCCATCTTCTATTCTCAGAGCATCCTGCAGAAGAAGTTCTCCATGACATTTCTCTTGAAGGCGTTCCAACAAAGTGCTTTCTTCCGCTTAAGCAGCAGATTATCTCCAAGTTTGCACATCTCCACATGCACGGAAAAACAAACACGCACCTCTACAGACACCTATCAGTCCTGATTCAAAAGTTTCTAGTTCATTTTCCCTTCTTAGTAGTATACGATCTCATTCTGAGAGAAAAAAAAGGCGCAGACCTCGTGAAAATCCCAAGCAAAATAAGAATGCACGCTGAAGCAGTCATTAGACAGTACAAAAACATACACACGCAGGTCCAAACATTCTCCACTGTCTCAGCAGTATTTCCTCCAAATATACCTGTTCTTTCACGCACACAAAAGAGCGAGCATACAAAGTGCTACATCCACAAGGTCCTGCCAGAGATAAAAAGACTGAAAGGCATCAACAAGCCCGTGCTGATATCGATACTTTCAACAGATGGAGCCATATACAAAGAAATAATCAAAAAGAACGATGATCTGAAACAAGACATTCTCAGCATGCAAGTGTTTTCGTACATGAACACAGTCCTAGCGCTATCATCGCACACACAGACGATAAAAGAGAGGATAGTCACGTACAACATCATAGCCCTGGACAAGCTCTTTGGAATCATTGAGTTTGTGGCAGCAGCAGAGCCTCTGGGCAATGCCATAGAAGACCTGCACTCTCTCTACTACCCATCAGAAATAACGAACAAAAAGTGCAGAGAAATAATGCAGAAGTACATCGATAGACCGCTAGAAGAGAAAGTCAAAGCACTAAAACAGGTATACACCCTGTATACGCCCGTTCTCAAGAGAATATTCGATGGACGAGGGCCCTTTGAGTATTGCAAACAGAGAAAAACATTTACGAACTCTTTTGCAATAACATCCATAGCAACATACATCCTGGGGCTCGGTGACAGACACCCTCACAACATCCTAATAGACAAAAGAACCAAAGAGCTTGTGAACATCGATCTAAATTTAATATTCGACCAAGGAAAGGCCCTGACCATATCAGAAAAAGTGCCCTTTAGGATGACAAGGAATATCCAACAGTGCATAATCGCAACAGAAGAGCATTCATACGAAAGGGTAATGAACTCGTTCTTAGCGTCCCTGAAAGAGTCGAAAGAAAATCTTCTTGTGTTTGTGAACATCCTGCAGAATGAGCCCCTGCAGAGATGGAGAGCAATTCAGAAGATTGCGCAGATAGAAAGAATGTTCTCCGACTACAAAAGCATTTTATCCCGCCTCAAGGACAAGCTAAACGGAATAGAAGATGGATTTGTCCTAAGCAACTCAGCGCACATTCAGTGCCTCGTGCAGAGGGCTGTGGACATATCCAACCAGGCATCGATATACCCCGGATGGTCACCGTGGATGTAGTCTAGCAAGAAAAAACTACCATTATCCCTGCAATCTTTACAAAAATAAAAATACTGTTAGAATTATCATTATCCTATCAAAATGCCAGAAAAGGCAAGAAAAACCAAAGTAAACGAGCAATCATAAACAAGACACCTTCATCCATCTCCTATCTACTTTTCCAATATCTACACCCTTCTGAACCAGTCAACCATCCTACGAATTTCGCCCATCCATCTCTGCAGCTGCGTTAAAATAAAACAAGTGTACCCAGCTAATAAAGTCGTCTTTTATTCTCCATCTTTTGCCTACTGCATTCCTGCCATTCCCTTGTACTTCATCTGCTCCTTTACAAACAGCTCAAAGTACTGTCCAATAATTGAAACGGCAAGAATGATGTTCTGCCCCGATCCTATGGTGTCGAGGAGATCGCTCATGATGCTGATACTTCCGACAATCACGCCCGATAGAATCGCTGCAATGGGAATGTATCTGTTCAGCATCTCCTGAGTGCCCTGTGTGGAGTATCCCTTTACAATCAGTTTCTGCTTGGCAAGCTGTTTTCCCACCTCTGCTGGCGAACTCTCGTTCATCTCCACCCAGTAGTACGCGAACATCGCAGAAGTGGTGAGCATAAACGTGGCGTATATCAAAAAGTGGATGGGCGACCTGAGGGCTGCCATGATATTCGCAGGGGGCGATATGTAGTACGCTATTCCCTTCACAGGCACGTACACCATGCTCTCGTTGATCTCCCACACTCCCAAAATACGGGTGTACCATCTCTCGGGGAAGCGGTCAAACAGGAACCTTGACGCTCTGTAGAAGCTCGTTACAACTTGGTTCTGTATTATGATGGGCGTGCTGGAGACGTAGAACAGCTTAATGCCCCAGTTCATGTGGCGTGTTTTCACCTGGGTGGACTCCAGGGGCAGATCTAGTTTGATGTTGTATAGGTAGATCACAACGCAGAACATCGCAGCTGTGGAAAGAAGACAGAAAATGTTTGGAAGGTTCTTTCTGAAGAATGCCTCGTACAGCGCCTCCAGCTTGTTCTTTCTTATTTTCAAGAGCTGCAGAAGGCTCACAATGGCGCCTTCAAACTCTGGGCCTTTTCCTGTGTTGTAGACAGAGGGGCTGAACGCCTTCCATACGATGGACTCGCAGATGTTTGCGACAATGAAGAGGTTTACGCCCGATCCCAGCCCGTACCCTTTCTGCAGCAGCTCGTCGAGGAGGATGATTATCACGCCAGAGCACATGAGCTGTGCCACGATCAGAATGCACACGGAAAAGCCGAGGTTGGAGGGGCTCCCGAAGAACCCTGTCGAGACCTGCACGAGAGCCTGGCCGAATGTTATCACAAGGGCAAGCAGCTTCTGGAAGGACGAAAAAAGAATGGAGTCTTCCTTTATATTCTCGTCTATGTTCAGTATGTCTATGAAGTTGAGGAACTGGGTGATTGAGCTTGTCATCAGAATGGGCCCGAGCCCGAGGTCCATCAGAGTTCCTCTGTTTCCTGCCATCATGGCCCGCAGCCAGTACACGGGGTCTGCTTTGTCGTTTATCATAATGCCAAATAAGGGTATTTGCGATGCCACAAAATATATTAAAATCGCAATAAGTGTCCATATCAGTTTCTCTTGGAAGAGGATCTTTCTATCGCTTGATTGCACCTCTGGAAGAAAGGGAGCAAATGGTTTTACAAAGTCAAGCACACGCATTTTATAATTGTAATTGCAAATAAAAAATAATTTCAAAATATATTTCGAACTGTAATTAAAAATAACACGTAAATTAAAAAGAGCACGGTAGGAGGAGCCTGATATCCAGTGCGCCACTCAGCTGCCTGGCTAGATGGTGGAGGAGAGATTGCTCGGTAATTTGGTAGATCAGCAAGCCAAATGGTTGCTATGGAAATTGTACTTAGCAATTAGTAAATTGCTATACTAATAGCCAAATTAAATGAATAAATAGTAAATAGCCAGCTAGTAGAATATTTAGTGATTGGTAGAATTGCTGGTGCAGTGGTGTTCTAGGCTACTCTGTGTATTTCATTAGCTCTTCTGTTGTTTTGATGTCCTTTTTGTCTTTGAAGTTGTTGCGTATCTCCTCCAGCAGAACTTTCATTGTGTTTCCCTCTGTCCAGTGCTTTTTAAAGTATTTTTCGATGTAGAGGATATTTATGATGAGCTGATTCCCTCTTCTTCCGAAGGGCTTGGCTTTGCTCACGAATGCCTCCTTTATTTCCTGCAGCAGATACCTGTGCAGCATTTTCATGACCATCTGTTTTGGTTGGACAAGCCACTTTAGCGGCTCTATTGGGATTATTGTGGATATTTCTTCGACTGTCTTTAGGGCCCACGGCTCTGGCTTTATCCCGTGTTTCTGGTCGTCTGTGTACATTCCCGTGTACAGGTCTATGATTATTGCTCTTATTTTTGATATCTCCTGTTTGCACAGATAGTCGATCAAGTCTGTTTTTATTTCCTGCGGAATGTCTTTCGTTATGTACTTGCTGTCCTCCTGCTCTTCCAGCTGGAGAATTATTGAGACCATGGAAATAGTAAAGAAGAACTTTTTGTTCAAAGAGGTCTCTCTGCTATGCACCATCTGCACTGTGTTGTTTATGTATCCATTCACGAGCTTTCTTTTGTACTTCTGGACTCCTGGGTCATTTAGATCATTGATAAGAGAGAATATTAGGGAGACAAACTCTTCTGGCTTGCACTGCATGTTTGTGAAACTCTGTTTGTATTTATTTATGCTCACATGGCCTCTGTGATGTTTTGTATTTGGCTTCCTTTTATTATGTGAATGCTGTCCTCTGTTTCTATGGCTACGTTTAGGTAAACATCGACGGCCTTGCATGTTCCTCGTATTTCACCGCCTGAGTACTGCACTACGACTAATTTGTTCAGACACTCTCCTTTTTCTTTCTCCATTCTCTGTTAAAATTATTATTGTACTTACACAGCTGCCCCATAATCCAGCTGGAGCTAATCATAGCTGATATCCTATTCTACTTCTATTTCTGTGCTGCCGAAGAGCTCTACTGCTACATTTTTATTGTATTTTGCTCTTTTTTTAATTTTTCGCCTGTCTACTGTCGGTCTTTACTATTTTCATGGATTCGTTGTGCAGCAGGTGGATGATTTCTTTTTTTCTTACAAAGTACAGGGATCCTTTCGTTGTTTCCACTAGACTGTCTCCCATCTCTATGACCCCGCACTCTTCCATGGCGAGAGCATGGACGTAGTACTCAATTGGCACTTCTCTGTGCGTGAAGTTCAGCAGAGGAAAGTTGTTGTAGTACCTATTTGTAATTTCTCTGAACTTGTGCAGATATTCCGAGGCTTCCTTTGTTTTTCCTTCTTTTATCCAAACGTGCTCGGCCTCTTTCTTTTTCTCTCTCTCCAATATCTTTACTATTCTCGTCAGCCTTTCTGTCTCTCTTTTGAGCAGCAGATAGTACATGGACAGCTCGACTGTCTTTTGGTCTTTTTCCAGCTCTTTCGCCAACTCGCTCAGCCTTTTCTTTTTTATTTCAATCTGTGTTTTTATGCGCGCTAGCTCTTTTTGGCTGGTTCTTGTCTGGAGAAGCCCATTCAGTTCCTCCTCGTTCATTTTCCAAATGACGAAAAAATTCATTTATTATTTGCACTGTGCTCTTCTCTCCTCCTGTCTTCTTACTTCCCATCTCCTCTTTTATTTCACAGAGGGTTTTGCTTATTGACTCGTACGTCTTCAGTATTTCTTCAATGACTTCCCTGTTTATCTGCTCCATCTTGAACTAAAAATCACAAACTATATCAAAAGGCCATTTTAAATAATTGGCACTCATAAAACAATAGATTAAGCACATTTCTTGATCTGGAGATAGTGCCAGAGAATAAAAGAGGTGCATATAGCACATAATTAAATTGAAGATGGATGGGATAAGAGAATGCCGAATAAGCAGATGGTGTAGTAGCAATGCTTTACTGAATGTGAGATATTTACTTGGGGTGTTATTATGCTGCTCTATGTCCATTTATTTTGCTTTTTCTGCGAGTATTTTATTATGTGTCTACTTTAAATGAAAGTGCAAAATATTTCACCTCGCATTTCAATTTTGTGCTTTTCAAATGTCTATGCTTTACTTATATTTTTTGACCTTTGAAGAGTATAAAATTATTTTATTAGTGGCAAAGCATGACTTTCGAGATTGATAGAGAAGATGTGCTGCATAACCTCCTATCAGAAGGCTCGTGCTTGAGCAAGAAGGGGATACAAGAAATCTATCAGAGCATTAGAGCTGTTGAGCACACTAAAAACATCAAGCCTGCAGAGATATGGACGCCCGACAGATTTAAATCAAAAGAGCCACGAAAGATCTTATCTAGCCAAAAAGAAGATACAGAGAAAAAGGTGGCTGAGCTGTACAGACAGGATATGTTGTAAAAACAAAGGAAAACGCAGAATGGGAGATACCTTCTGCACTGATAACCAAAAAGACAGGAGAAACCCTCCTTTCCCTGGATCTGCGGTGTGTAAACAAAGTTACACAGCAAGACACCTATCCCATCCCCCCAGTAAAAACTCTGACAAGCAACCTAGCAAAGATGAAATGCTGTTCTAAGTTCGCGATAAAGGATGGATTCTTCAGAGTTCTCTTGCACGAAAACTCGCAGCACAAGACAACTTTTAAATCGGGAAATACCTACAATAGAGATATGTGTGTTGGAAAACAGCATAAATGCAACTTTGTCCATGCACCAAAGAAGCTCAGTTGTGGAGTACTACTCAAAATCACTCAGCCCCATGGCCAAAAGGTACTTAGAATTTGAAAAAGAGCTATTTGCAATAGTATGCACTCTGAAAAAATGGTCAATGCACCTCGATGATGAGTTCAACCTACTAATGAATGAAAACTATATAGTTGATTACTACCGAATGTCACGAGATAAAGGAGTGTCTTGTAGAGTAAGACTGTGGTGCAAAATAATATCTAGCTATCCCATCATCTTCAACGGCCATTACGATTAAGCATGTGAATAATTCCAAAGAGTAATAAAGCTCAATAATGAAATAAAATTATTACACTTTCATATTATTTGCAAAGTATACTTGTATACTATTCAGAGCAAAAATGATCATTGTTGTTTAAGTAAACTATTGTACGTGGATGTGCAGGAGGTGCTTGGAGTATGGCTGATGCTGCACTGAAAAGCAAAAGAGAGAAACAAAGAGAGAGTGGAAGTGTGTGGTTTATTTGATATTATGTGTGCAATTCCAAGAAGAAGTATAAGGTGTGTTGTCACAGGAGGTTAAATGGTGTAGGAGGTTAAGTTCGTAAGAGATTAAGTGTTGTGATGGGCTTAAGTCTTTGCGGCTAAGCCATGACTGAAGAGAATCTTTGATTGTCCTGTGAGCGCACAGAGCTGCTCTATATATAGACATTTTATATTAAAAATTAATAAACATCTGCAAGCGTCCTAATTAAAATTGAGGAAGCATACATATGGTCAGAGTGAATAGCCTGGAACATTCTATTAATTTGTACTCTATGTGCATGGGAAATGGCCATTCACTCGTATGCATATTCTCAAGAATAAGAGCAGTGAAAGCAAATTGTAAGCAGACTAGTGGACTGTCGTTATTCTTATTGCAAAAATATAATCCAAGTTTTACTATTGCTTCTATGAACAGCAAAGCATAGACTGTATGAAACTTAGTGTTGTTATATACGAAGAGTGATCCTCTTTGTTTGTCTTGGCTTTGCTCTGAGCCCTTCTAGATGCTGGCAATGCAATACTCGTTCTTAGAGAGCATAGCGAATTCGTACGTGTGTGGCTTCTTTTGGTCTTTATCTGTGCAAAGTATCTAGCTGTGAGATAGCAGAGTAGCGGCTATTTTGCCAATTATGTTGTAATTTGCTCTCTTATAGTAAGATTGCACAAAATGGAAATACTCTAGACCCCATGAACTCTTGGTTTGTTTTGGGCTAGGCACGTGGGGCGAAAAAAGAAGGAAGAATTTTGGCAAATATTCACAGATTGTGTGTAAAAACACAGCGACATTCTAAGATGGATGCACCGTTGTGTTTCTCGCACTGTTTCAGTGTATGCCATTTATTCGGTGTTTTGGTATGTGCCACACTCCTGTGCTGGAGAGATTTGCCGCGGTATTTTCTATTTTCGCAAGCTATATATTGTTTACTGCAAATCAAAACAATGCAGAATAGCGCGAAAGAAAGAGCAATAGAGCTTAATGAAGAAGATCAGACACAGGAAAGAACTGGAGTAGGGTCCAGGATAAAAGGATATTTTGTCTCCTTCAAGAGAACAGCCGCAAAGATAAACCACAAAATAGCTAATGCAGTGGAGAATAAAATTGTTCAAGCAGTAGAGGCGCTAATTTCACTGGGTGCTGATGATCGTGATGAGAGCGGATCTATTAGACAATACAGAGAGGCAAGAGTCCATGCAATGGAAGAAGCTCAGTCAAAAGAGCAAAAAGCCGAGCAGAGTAAAAATGCCTCAGCAGGTGAGACCAAAACAAATGATCAGTATGATCAAAAAAATGAACAAAATAAAGAAGTATCTAAAGAAGACTCTGAAGACTGCTCTGATAGCGATGGAGTAATGGAAGCAATGCTGGCGGTAGAAGCAGAACTGCAGAAAAGAGCAGCTAGTCAAAAACCCGCTCCTAAAAAATCAGACCTTGGTTTACCGCTCTTCAGTATCGACTCAAGGGATGCGAAAGAAGAAACTGAAGAAGCTCTGAAAGCCAGTAGAATTCTCCAAGAAAGAGTGATAAATGACGCTCTAGCATACATCGCCATAATTTTCAACATAGTCAAGCAGACCATTGATATGAAAAGTGTGGTCTATGCGCCCATACTGATTCTCTTCCACATGAAGAGAAGTGCGTACAAATATCCTGAGGGGATGGCAAGGGCTGAGCATGACTTCCATCTTGGAAAAAAAAATGCAGAAAATGAAATTGATGGAGCCATGAGCGATGATGAGATAAAAAGCATAGCAGCCACAGGACTAGAGCCCACATTCAACATGGACTACTGGATGGCTGCCGATAGCAGGCTGAACAAAGCATACAAGTCACTATTTGCCACTGTAATAGGATCGATCTTCGAAAAAAACAAAAAACACACAAAAACAAGAAAAAGCATGTTGTTCTATGGCGAAGTACTGAAGTATGTGAGAAATACAGTATCGTGTATCCTATCAGAGCTGGATGAGACCATGGCTAGTAACCCACACGAGAACAGAAAATACTTTGAAGGGTTCATGCAGCGCATGCTAAGCGAACATAAGGCAGAAAAAGCAGCCAGAGAAAAAAAGAATAACTCTAAAACTCGTTCTACTCATTTGATTAGCGGTGCTGTTGATACTGCTGTTGAATCTAATGCAGAGAATGCCTCTAGGGAAATGGTCACTGACGAATCTGCTGCTCCCATTGAGTCTATACCCGAAGATAAAAATGAGGTTGTAGTTGAACCTGAAGTGATCATTGCGCCTAAAGCTGACCGTATTTCTTTTGAAGTTGAAGCCACACCTGTTGCGATTACTCCCTCTAAAGATGAGTCTGGAGTTAGTCCTAGGGATGGATATATTGTTTCAGCTGATTCTGAGACTATCACTAAACCTCAGCCCGCTGCCAGCAGACACAATAATGCTGAAACGTTCATGGGTCCTTCGCCGATGGTATATGTTGCTCTTGAAGAGGTTATAGCTGAGCTGAGAGAAAGTCCTCTCTACCAGAAACAAAAAATAGTGTACAAAAACCAGGGAGCAGAGCCAGTCAAAGGCCTGCCAGAAAACAGAACAATAAACACGGCATTAATAGCCACTCTGCAGCACCAGCAAAATCTTGTACTCAAAGTGAACTCGTATACATATAGAAAGCCGGACCAGCACCAGCAGTAGAATAGACGCCCTAAATTCCTCAGAATAAACATCTTACCTGCATAATTCACCTCTAAACTCTCTTCATTCCGTCCACAGAACACCAACATTGTATAACATCCTTTGCACAAACTGTTTAGTCTGTGGTACTCATTTAGCTCTTTTTCATTTTTATTTTAGACACTCTAGCATGAATTATACTCCAATTTATCATTTACACCGCATTATTATTCAATTACTCAAATGCAATATTCTGTACTAGCAATTTGTCATCTACCGCTAACAACTATATTTTGGCCATAAATATTATCATACGGCACAAATCATCGATAATCATTGATAATCATCGATGCACATAGAAGATGTACTGGTAAACTTGGCTCATAGTGAACAGGTGATAAATAATGGACAGGTAGTGTGTATACAGAAAGAAGCATCTATTTACACTCCAGTAATAAACTAAATTCTACTGCTCTTGTGCAAATATTCCATCTATCTATTCTTCTATCCATGGCCTTGATGGTTAAGCATTGAGCACTGCTTTGAAGCAGAATTAGGCACTGTTGTATCTTATAGCAAACTGCAGATTCGACTTGTGCTGTAATAGATGCAGGTGCTCTTTTGGGCTCACAAAGAAATTTCATCTTATTTTCGAATATCATAATATTCTACTTTACTTTGGACTAGTATTTATAGATAAGAAATATTCATTCTCTATGATATTCCTGCTTATTCTGCTGTGCACTGTCATTCTCGTGATCATTACAGCTGTTTTTAGCAGCAGCAGCTTATTTCTATGCCCTAGCTACTCTGTTATCTACTACACCATTATTATTGTGCTCTCCGTCATATTTTGCATTGTTTTCACACTTGTTCTGTCGCACTTTACCAACTACCGTGCTTCTATGCTTATTTAGCTGCCATATATTTTTCCATCTTCTTCATTGGTCAAATGCTCTTCTCTTCCATTTATCCATGCAGCTTGCAGAAAATAGTAAATATTTTTGTTAGGAGTAGGACAAAAGCAAACAGCTAATAAAATGAGGGTTTGCAAAAGTTTTAAACAGTCCAATTAAAATATTTTATTTCTTGTACCATAAATACAAATTGATATTTTAATTATTGCAAAGCAGATGGGGGATCAGAATGCAATCGAAAAAATTAATATAGTAGATATAAGCTTAGAAAAGAAAGATATAACCAGAGAGCAGCACGATCTTATAAAAGCATACTGGAAAGAAAAAACAGATAAAATAGCATATGAGCTGCTCAGTAGTATGAAGACGGATATAGTCTATAGAGTAGACGAAGAAGTAATGAAGGCTCTGAAGTACAGCGACAAGAATAGCTTAGTTGCAATGGCTAAAAAGAAGATTTCGCAGGTTCTAAGCGCAGAAAACAATGAGGTAAAAGAGACAGTGGTCAATGTCCTCGGTAGATATACAGGAGAAAGAACGCTAAAAAGAGAGGAAATTAAAGAGTGTATGCAGAAAATACAGGAAGAAATACAGCCAAATCTAAAAGAAATAGAAAAAAGGATTAATATTGCATTGTACGAAGGACAGCCAGGACTACTGAAACACAAAAAAGAGTACAACGATCTTCTTGCTGAAGTTATGCAAATAGCATCAGGATCGTACGGAACAAACTCTTTAGAATACGAATTTTATATACCAGGCCTTTTCAAAGAGTCTATACTCGAGATAAGCCCAGTATTTTCCAAAGAAACAGTAGTGCAGCCAAGAACACAGAATGCACAAGATGTACAGGACATACAGGATCGAGAGAGCGCACAAACTGTGCCTAACACTGATTATTTTACAGACTTGAAAAGTAGAATAAAGGAAGAAGACTTTGTTGACTTCTTTATCAAGATGGACGAGGTTTACAGAATATTTAACAATGCTTCAATCGGCCGCACAAGACTGGGAAAGATCAGAAAAGAGCTGAAAAATGTACTGTATAGGATCGCCAAATCGCTAGATATGGAAATAACACCGCACGAAATAAACTGTAAGATAGATCCACTGACCAACTACCGATACTCAGACATAATCTCCACAAATTATATGCTGAACTATGCCATTCTCAAGATAAAAACAGTGTACCGCGGGATAAAGGCAAAAAAGGAAAAGTTCTTAACAGAAGAAACATATTTCTATGCAAGAGCGTTTGTGACAATACTGTGTATAATTACTGTCATCTGCATATGGCACGTAATAATATCAAAACTATTGCAGATGTTGACAAACATCAATGTATAAACCGCATTGCAAACTAAACAGCTCAGCGCTTGAGAACACAAATAATCTCTGCACTTCTGTTTTGCACTCTTTCCAAGAACTAAAAACAAGCATTTGTTTTATGAGGCACAAAGTACTATTATTCATTCATTAAATGTGAGCTCTTTATACAATCTGCTGTTGAACATCGTAGTGATTCGCTATGTAGCCATCAATATGATTGTGTAGCAATCTACTAATGTCAAAGTGATCAGCAGAACATTTGGCTGTGAAAGAAACATGAGTTAGAAATCTTTAAGAATTTACTATGGCTCAATAAATATTTGACTTGCGGCTAAGACTCTTATTTTAAATTAAAATTATTTATATTCAATATGTTATTGAAATAGTAATTAGATGCAAGCATAGCTGTCTGCTGGCAACTGAAAGAAATTGTGATATTTGATTTTTTATTTTGCTTTAGACTAATCAAATTTAAAGAGAATTTGATCGAATATGCTGGAGACAGCCTTTATTACACCCACTCGTTCTGTTTTGTTTGAAGACTCTTGAACTGCATTAGAGCGTCCTCTGCGCTTATTCTTGTCTCAGGGTCGAAAGAAAGCATTTTCTCAATAATATCGAGACAGTCCAGGAGATCGTGTCTTGACGCCTTCTCCATTAGATAGGACAGTGTCCTGTGTTTCAGCACATATCTAATCCTCGCCAGGCACGCTTCAGCACTTTCTCCTCCAAAGAGGATCTGATGCGTAACCATCTCAAACAGCACGCACCCTGCAGACCACACGTCTATTTTCAGATCGTATTCCTTCCCCAGGTGTATCTCAGGCGCGCGGTAGTACCTTGAACAGATGTAGATCACATTGTTCTCTGCGTTTACTATCATTTTTGCGCTGCCAAGATCGCAAATCTTCAGTATTTTTTCTTTTTCATCTATCAAAATATTTGATGGCTTTATGTCTCTGTGCGCTATTCCCTTCGAGTGCAGATACGACAGGCCATCCAGCAGCTGCACAGCATACGCAATGTAGTCATCTCTTCCCACATACTCTCTATTTTTAATAAAAGTGTACACATCTGTTTTCACATACTCCATAATAATGTTTAAATACACGCCTTCTTCTGTTCTTGTCCCGTAGAAGTACCAGAACATCTTTACAATCGACGGGTGCGAAATGTTCTTCAGTATTTCCAGCTCTCTGTTCATGTAGCTCTTCTTCTCAAAGACTCTTTTCAGCGCATATCCAGAGACTCCCCCGAGAATAATGAGAAACACAAGGCCAAAAGTCCCTGAGCCTATCTTTCTTCCCTCCACGTACTCCATCTCCACTTCCTCCCCTGTCACTGCACAGACCATCCTCTCCTTCAAGTATCTGCTGTTTTTTTCTGGCGTTCTATCAAGCACGTATTCGTGTTCCATTTAGATATAAATAATTGGTAAACATTCCCCTGTTTATTTTTTAAAATGAAGATCCCCTTGCAATGCAAAAAGAGGAAACGTGGGAAACAGTCCAGATAAAAACCTTTGTAAATTGGATAAATTCGAAATTGGAAAAGGGAGAAATGCGGTACAAAGAAGAAAAAACCCCTGCAGGCTTCTCATTCGCAAAGGTATCCGACCTCAGGAAAGACCTGCAGGACGGGCTCATTCTGCACTCTCTTCTGTACTCCCTCACAGGATCTGTGCTGAGGTTCAATAAGCGGCCTGTCCTTGTGGTGCATAAGCGAGAAAACATTGGAAGAATAATCGAATACCTCAAAGAGAGCAAAGTGGAGATGGTGAACATTGGAGCAGCAGATATCCAGGAGGGAAGCATCAAGCTGACACTTGCCCTAATTTGGAGATTCATCATGGCATTTTCTCTCCGGGAAATAAGAGAAGATGGCGAGAACATCAAAGAGAAAATACTGCGGTGGTGCCAGCGCAAGGTGCAGAAGTACGGGGTGACAGTGAGCGACTTTGCAGGAAGCTGGAAAGATGGGCGAGCTATTTCTGCGTTGGTGCACTCCGATGTTGGCGGATTTGTCTTTGATGATGGAGAGAGCGAGCACATGGCAACGAGAGCAATTGCCCTGGCGTACGAATATCTGCAAGTGCCTCCCTTGATCGGAGCTGAAGATCTCGTCACGGGTGTGTGCGATGAAAAGTCTTTGCTGACGTATTTGATAGAGTACTATGCAGCCTCGATAAAAAATAACGGAAAAATAAAGAGGAAATTGGCAGAGCAGGCAGCCATCCATGCAGAACAGGCAGTGGCTCATTCAAAAGAGGAAATTGATAAAGTATTTGCGCTTCTATCTAGGGAAATACCAGATCTCCAGAAGAAAAAAAAAGAGCTGGACATGGCGTACAACAAAGTAAAAATAATGGAGGAGAACGCAGTGCGGTCCACGGTCTCGCATATTATACAGATAGATATACTCCACAGAATGCGAAACCCATACACACCTTCATCGATTGTTCTTCCCGAGTCTTTTAAGCACCTTCCTGTGGTGGGGGTGTTTGATGCCCTCTGTTTCATCGACACTCTTGCGGGCTGGAGAGTAAAAGAAGGCGAAAAAAAGGAAACGCCGGAAGAGGAAGAGTTTGTGCGCATATTTGCCGAGCTGCTGGAGGTCTCTGCGTTTGTTACTTTCTCAGGAGCCCACGAGTTTCTGAAGGGAGTGTGCACTCGAATTGAAGAGTTTCTAATCTCAAGCCAGAAAAAAACGAAGACAAATGATGGTAAAAACACCGGCACAGATGAAAGCAGCAATGAGCTCTCTTTCGCAGCAAGGGAAACCAAGAGAGTTATGCAGCAGAGACTTGCATGGGCTCTTCACGAGGTGAAAGATGGAATAAGACGGTTCAACGAATACTTCACAGACGACCTGAAAAGAGAGAAGGCATCTCTTTCTGTGGCGCTCTCTTCCGAGATGGAGGCATCGTCTTTCCCGTGCCCCCATAAGGCAGAGTGGTCTCTGCTGGGCGGGCGCGACATGTATTTGCGCATTGTATCAGACGGGTGCCTATCTGCAGGCGCCAGAGAGTTTATTACGCCCATAACCCCGGACTGGGAGAAATAATAAAACCTGTCGTTATTTTCATTTTTATTCATCTTTTCATTTACTCCTTGTTTTCTTTTATTTATGGTTTATTGTGCGTGGTATTTAGAGAACAGAGATATGTGCAGATCCATTCAACACAGCATTGCTGAAATAGAAGACGAGAACGAAATGTACATTGAATCAGTGCAGGAGGCTGTCTTTGACATAGTCACAGGCCCCACTGTGGTAAACAGTTTGGAAGTGTCAGTAAAAATAGACGGGGATGGAAAAACATCCGCAGAAAGTAGCAGCACATCTTCTACACCTCCTGGAAATGATGCTGATCTGGCTTTTTCCTCTTTTCCTGATATAAGATCTAAAGACATGGAGAGAGAAGAGTTCATATTCAAGCTGCCTACGGGAATATACCATGCAGTGTTCATACAAGAGATGAAAAAAGAAGAAAGCAGGGGGTGCATACAAAAGAGCATAATAGTGCGCAGTAATAAGTATGTATACGCCCTGCCAAGTGTGCTCTCTGCACATTTAAAGAGCTCAGATGAGTATTCGGCAGACAATGTGCTGTCTCTTTTGGCGAGTAGATCGGTTGAGATACCAAGAAAAAATGATGAGATACGAAAAATATTGCTAGGACAAATTCCAGAGAGCATCCAGGCTCTGATGGAGAAAAACAAAAACACAATCCTGGAGAACCTGCTGCGATGCAGATCCTTTCTGATTGTGGGGGAGAGGCCAAGCGAAGTATCTGCTGTTGTGTGCTATCTCTCTGTATTCTGCGGGGTGGTATACGGCGGAGATGTGCTTCCGTACAGATCATCGTTTGTCCAAGGAGCACTCAAAGATAGAATTCTGATGGGCGTGACAAATGAGCACACACACAGAATGAAGGGCTTTGACAATGTACTTAATTTAAAAGAGGGGAAGTATTCGTACAGAGAAAAAGAGTGCGTTGACGACTTAGAAAATCTTTTTAGGAATATGGAAGAATACTTTGTGCAGAATCCTGCAGGTTTTAGAGTAGAACAGTGGCTGTGCAGAATGACAGATGCGGGAGCCAGCATGCGCGCCAGAAGGACATTCAGAGAATTCTTCAATAGCCCAAGCTTTCCTGCATGGCTGCACTCTCGTGGCTACAAAATAGAAGAAAAGGATGGCTAAATACTCCATGAGCATAAAAGCGAAGCAGCTAAAGGATAGAAAAAGCAGTAAACAGTGCATAGCACTCAGTAACACAAAAAGATCATTCGAGCTGTATAAAAAACTGTTGCAAAGTTAGAAATAGTTCACAACTCGAGAATAGCTTAGCATAGTATAGTATTAAGTAGAGTAAAACTTATACTATAGAGAATAAACAAGATCTATACTCAATTAATGGCCAATTAGTAACCAATAGATGAACTACTACTAGTGTATGAAGTGAACAGGATTTAGAAGATTTGATGTATCTTTGATATTTCATCTCTTCTGTAGTAAGTGTATAAATTGCGATGTGGCTTGTAAATTCAATGAATACACCATGGTATAACTGAAGTGTAAACTACAATCTACACTTCTGCTAATAAACGAATGGAAATGTACGAAGAAACAAAAAAAGAGCATATTTGGATACAAACTGCAGAGAAAATACAGAGGACAAACAACAAGAACCGTATAGCAGCCTAAAAGCCATGAATTTTATTTTATCCAATTAATTTAGAGAACCAGCTGATCTTTGCAGATTACACAACAGTAAATCATGTTTGGGTTACCATCAGTCTATTCGTGATACTTCAACTTGGTACGTAAAAAGTGTCTTCTCTTTGCATTGTAGTGCTGTTTGTTTCCTGGTATAACTCTTTTCCATGCAGGCACTGGCTTGTTCACTCTGTTTGCTTTTATTAATCTTCTTTTCAAAAGTGCTCCTTTGTTGGCTGTCATCTCTGGGGCTATAAAAATTTAAAAAAATTTCAACTCCACTTCAAGACAAAAATAAATAATAAATTCAGTATGGGAGAAGAAAGAAGCAATTTAGCACGCACAGATAAATGTATAGAAAATAGGCATACTTACACTCTATAGACATTTCTATCTACAAACAATGGCTCATTGCATTCTAATATTTTATTTTATTTAGCCAACTGTCTGCTGTTTATCTCCTCCATGACCATCAAACACACTTAGCAAGCTATCACCGAATTATACGCTGTGGAAGCAATCATAGCTGCAGCAGACACAAATGGATGCAGAGATAGTTCACTAAATATCTGTTGTATTCCTCTGTCTTATTTTTTGTTCTTGTTTTTCTGCTTGGCTACATATGCCGGGTGTGTTACGTCCACTGTGAAGTCTGGATTGTTATTCCCTTTTGCGAATCTGTCGTCTTCTCCAAGTATCACAACTTCGCTGCTCTCCTCTTCCTGCGAGTCATTGCTTACTTCCATGCGAATGTCCTCATCGTCAACTGCTTTATCTGCTGTTTTCGCCTCTTTCTTCTCCTTTGTGTTCTTCTTTGCTGGCTTATTCTCTGGCTCTGTCTCTTCTGTCTCTGGCATCATTATCTTCTTGTAGTATGCCTGTTTTTCTTCGTCATCTGATGCGTCTATAAGGTCATTTGCTACGTCCATGTCAAAATCTTTATCGAATAGATCTCTCAGGTATCTGTCTCTTACGGGGTCTTCATCCCATTTGAGCTGCGGCTTTGTGCTGTATAGCGGATTGATGGGAATTTTTCTTATGTTTTTTGACATTTCTGTGGTTTCCTCAACGACTTCGTCGTTTATTGGAGCGTCGGCTGGAATAAATCGGGCGTCAATGTAGTTGTGTGTGTCTTCTATCTCCAGGCCGTCTATTGCTGCGTACAGCTCCTTTGCCTTCTCTTCCGTGTCTACTTCTATGACTGCGTAGAAGTATTTCATTTTCTTTTTCAGATACTCTCTGATGTCTGAGTCGGTTGTTCCCAAGTCCTCATCTAGTTTTAGGACAGCAGGGCCTTCTTTCTCTTCTTTTTCCAGCTCTCTTTTTCCCAGCTTTGTCTTGTAGATCGTTACTTTTTTTATGTTCTCTGCTGATAAAAAGACTTTGATCACTCTATAGATCTCGTTCGCGCCTATGGACTCCCAGTCTATGTTTAGCACGGCAAGTCGCGTAGACACGTCCCCTCTGGGCACGCTTGTGCTGTTCATCAAGTCTTGCGGCTTGATTTGCATCTTTTTCTCTTGAATTGGGCTTTCCTTTTCTGTTTTCTGTTTTTTGTTCTTTTTTCTCTTCTCTTTTGGCAAAGCCTTTGGCTGCTCTTTTTGCTTTTTCTTATTTTCTGTGGAAGAGTGGGGCTGTGCGTCTATTTTCATCTTGAAAAATTTTACGAAAATGGCTTCTATAAGAAAAATAAAACACCGCATAGACGCATATAAAAGTACAATATCCCTCCTCAAGAACAAAATCAAGAAGCTGGAAACTCTTCTGGACGAAGATAGGTCAAAAACACAGGAAAGTATGGAGGAAGGGGAGATAAGGGACATAGCAAAAGAGAGGAGGAAAAGAAAGATAGACGAGTCCAACTGCGAGGCAATACTCAGCGGCATCGACAGCAAAGCAAGAAAAAGCATGCCCGAGCTTCTAAAAGAAATATTCGACTCTTTCAACCTTTTGGAGCCTGCAGACATTCGCAGGGTTTTCTCCGCGCTTCTTCCCTATTTAGATAACTCTCTGAAGTACGTTATTCTGCACGATACAATTCTGTTCACGAGAGATTTGGATAAGTATGCCCTTGTATATAAAACATTGTATCCCGATACTTTTGAAAAAGATAGCAGCGAAGTGTGCGATGTCTTTGAAACCGTCTACTACTACAGCATATCGGAAGAGTCACTCGATGAGCTAAAGAACAGATGCATAAAAATACTTCAAAAATATTCGTCAAGAAGAGTGATAGACGGAGAAACTATCCTGCAAGAGTCATTTGATGCAGCCACATCGATACGCCTCTACTCGAAGGTGATAGACTGGGACTGGACATACAATGAGTTTATTCGGGACATACTGTACCCGGAGCTCAAGAAAAGCGATAGACCGTTTTCGGTCTTTGTTCTTTCTTTTATCTACGCCGAATGGAACAAGTCCTTGTCTTCGCACAAGAGTCTGGAATACCTGATCCAGCTGCTGGACAAAATAGCAGGAATAGGAACAGGAGAGAACATTATAAAGTCGATGCACTCGCTGGACTCGCAGCTGGCAAGCGCTCTTATGCTCAGACAGTTTAGGCCCGGAGCATCCATAAAATGGCACAAAAAAAGAGTTGAAGAAGCAACGCCCAGTGAAAAAGAAGTTATCGAGAAAGCGTGGAAGATATCCTTTTTTTAAATGGCGAGCATTCGGTGTTCATCAGCAAAAGACTGAAAAATAAAAAGAATAAAGACACTAAATGTATCGTATTGCCTAAATAAGTAAGAGATAAAGATAGCCGTTTGAGGAGAAAATAAAACTGTGCAGTGCTGCTGTGCACAAGCATTCGTTAGCCCAGCCGTCCTGAGGGTGCAGTTGAAATATTAAAAAGCCACATGAATAATTTAAATTTTTTAAAGTCTCATAATGTTTAATAAAGAAACAATTGAATCGTTGCCATCCGAAGCCAAGAAAGAGCTGTCTATGCTCGCAGAAAAGTGCAAAAAAGGAGAAATATCGGCAGGCGAGTACAAGAAGTTCTGCACCGATATTATCATGGAGCACAGAGAAGACGAAGAAGAAGCAGAGCAGATGCACGAAGTAAGAAGGGGGCGGCCTTCTGTCAAAGACGATCAGAAGCCAGAGTACATGAGCGACATCATCCACTACGCTGGAGTGAACTTGAAGGAAGAAGCCCTGCACATTGCAAAGGAGGCAGAGGACTATTTGCCGCTGGAAGATTCAAAGAACAAAGTGCACGACTACAAAAACACAGTGGACTCTTTGTTTGATGTGCGAATATACGGTTATTTTTTGGAAAAAATAAGCAAGCTGAGAGACATAGGAATAAGCGATGACGCTTCCCAGCTGATCTTCCAGGCTGCAAAGAGAAAAATATTTGGCTTATTGGAGAAAATGATCCAGCAGAGCAAAATAAGAATGGACATATCGAGAAACGACTTCCTGATACGGATAGAAAACGACAGAAGGCGGCAGATGTGGTTTTTAGAGCAGGAGGAAAAGCTAGAGATGGACAAGTACAGACAAAAGAAAGAAGGCGACGAAGCAGAAGGAAAGAAAAAGTGGAGAAAAGCCCTGCAGGACAGAGAAGACCTGATCATAAAGAAAAGGCTGAGCAACAATGTGGCGCTGGCCGCGCTTGGAAGCCAGCCAAAGAGCTGGATGTCGGCAGGCGCGCAGAGCACAGACGACGGATCAGCGCCGTACCTCACTCTGTTCCAGGGCGCAGAGGACAGAGCACAGAAGAGCAGTGCCCGCGTGATCATCAAGGACGATTTATTGAATGTGTTGGCTAGAGACAAAAGATACAATAAGTCGATATTCACTATAAAACACACTTATCTGTAAGATCAAATAAAATAAATATTATTACTAATGATCACTCATATTGTTTAACTCTATGAACTACCTCTAGAAGGTCACTGCACAGCTTTTATTCTCTATCTCATCTTCTCTGCAAACGAGTTATTTTTAATTTTCTATTGTGTATGTGTTTAAGTTTCTGCTTGAATGAAGTTGCAAATATTCCATTTCTAAACCAATTTTATTTCTAGAGCAATATAAAATTTTCTTACAAACCTTCCACAAAACAATAGGGTTCTGCATTTTTATAAAGAGTGTAAAATATTTTGCAGTACACTTTTTATTAAATGGCACTGACGGAGTATTTTATAGATCCCCTGAACACAACATACTTTGATACAACAGTTCAACCTGAACCCATAGTTGCAGAGCCACCTTGCATCCTTGTCATCAAAAGGAAGAGCAAGGCTATTCAGAGAATAGTGCAAATGTTCTTAAGAGCAGTGAAAGAGGTGTGTAGATGGGCAAATATGCTGCCAATTAGTGCTGGCTTTGTGATTTTGGTGGGCATCATTGTTTTTGTGTTCTACATAAGGGCATACAGAAGAGAGAAGCAGTCTCTCCGTCTTAAAATAGCCCCAGAGGCATCTTTTAATGTCGCAGGCATAGTCAATAAACAGTCTTGTTTTTCTTTTCGAAAGAGACTGCAAAGAGTCATAACTCCCAAGGCCAACAATAGCTCTGTGGATGAAATAGAATATTAAAAGAGACAGGAGCCAGTGGGTTTGTCTTGTTGTATTTACTCTCATTACTTCTACAACTTATACTAGTCTTGCTATAAGTAGAAAATATCTTAGATCTGTTCGCAATCCTATTTTCACTGCTAGAAAAAGAAAATATGCTCCAGCAACTGAAGGTGAAGAGTCTCTCCTGCATAAATAAATTATATATACATAGCCCAACTATCTTATACACTAGCTCTTAGGAGAGTAAAAATAAAATAATAATGGATTCAAGCAGAGTACTGAAAGAAGTGCATAAATAGAAGTAGACCCTTCCATAAAAGGAAATGCACTGATAAGGAAAAGTACAAAATAACAGTATTGCCTCTACCAGCTAGTTTTACCAGAGCCATTCAATAGTCTGCCATTAGAGTAAAGTAAACATTGGATAATTCTCGGATTATATTTAAAAAAGAGCAACAAGAACTACAGCAATACCAATTTATTCAACTGTTACAGACTTAGCTAAGTTTCTTGGCTGGTCTACATTTATTCCTAGGCTCGCTGCGGTGTAGTAAGCCAGTATCTGCAGCACAACCACATTTACAATTCCCTGCACGCAATCTGACACCTCTGGCACGATGATCTTCAGAGCATTCCCAAGCTGTTTGGCTGTGCGCTCTGTGCATATCGTGATGGGCTTACCTCCTCTGGAAATAACTTGTTCGTACGAGTTCTGGGACTTCCCGTCTGATGGATCGGTTAGAATCATAATAATTCTCTTGTTCCCATCAACCAGCGCGAGGGGCCCGTGCTTTAGCTCCCCTGCTGCTATTCCTTCGCTGTGGATGTATGTTATCTCTTTGATCTTCAGGGCGCCCTCCAGACACGTAGCCAATTGGTACCCACGGCCCAGCAAAAGAATGCTGTGCTCTGGCTTTAAAAGCTCTTCAGCTATTTTTTTGAGTCCTTCCTCGTCCTTCAGCACAGACTCGATCGATGTTGAAAGATTCTTCAGATCCTTGATGATCTCTTTCCTTCTCTCCAGGGTGTCTGTGTTCCACTGGCCTATCTGCAGGGCCAACAGAGTCAGCGCCACTGACTGGCTGGTGTATGCCTTGGTGCTCGCCACTCCTATCTCTGGCCCTGCGTTTATGTGGATACCGCAGTCTGTTTCTCTGGAAATGGTGCTTCCTACCACGTTAGTAATTCCCACACTCAGCGCGCCTCTTTCCTTGATGTACCGCAGAGAGATGAGCGAGTCAGCAGTTTCTCCGCTCTGACTAACAAATATGCAGCAGTCAGACCTCGAAATAGGAGGCATGCGATCGTTAAAGTCGCTTGCTATCTCGATGGACGAAGGGATTCCTGTGAGCTCTTCAAATAGTCCTCGCATCTGCAGAGAGGCATAGGAGCTAGTGCCGCATGCTATGAAAATAAAACGAGAAGCCTTCCGCAGGGTGTCGATCCACTCGCTCATTCCCCCCAGCTTCACAGTTGACTCTTCGAAGTTCACGCGCCCTCTCATTGTATTTACCACTGAGTCTTTCTGTTCGTGTATCTCTTTGATCATAAAATGCGGGTAATTCCCCTTCATTATATCGCACAGAGTTCCTGTCACTTCCTCTAGCGGCCTAAATGACTGGCCTCCTGGGGCTATTTTGGTTATTTCCAGGCCCTTGGCTGTGGCATGTGCTATGTCTCCATTCTCCAAAGTAAGAATTGTCTTTGTGTGCTCAACAATGGCAGCCGAGTCAGAGCTAAAGAACACTTCGAGCGAGTTGCTTGTGCTGTCGCTGCTATTCCCATTTTCCAGCACAAAAACCCTGCTCACTGATCTTGACAGCTCTCCTGCATTTGAGCTGGGCCTAGGCGTGCCCACAGGAGTATTTATGGAGATAGATGGCTCTTTGCAGGGAACCACGTCGATAGAGTCCTGCTGGACTATCGATGAGCCGCGCACACCTATGAGCAAAGGGCTCCCCCTACGAGCTGCAACAACTTCGTTGGGGAAGTACTTGCTTACCACCAGGAATGCGAATGCTCCGTCTAGATGGTGCACAGCTTCATTCACCAGCTCTCCAAATGACATGGAGATGCCTCTTGCCATGCACTTTTTGTAGATGAATAGAAGAAGCTGTGCGATGCTTTCTGTGTCTGTTTCTGTTTTGAAGGTTTGCCCGTGTCCCTGGAGAATTTCTTTTAAGGTTTTGTAGTTGTTTATTATTCCGTTGTGCACTACGAAAAACTCGTTGTCCTGCGAAGGAATTGGGTGGCAGTTGGTTTCAGAAGGCTCGCCGTGGGTTGCCCATCTTGTGTGCGATATTCCCACGTTGGAGGGCGAGCTTTTTTCTTCGATGCTTTTTCCTGCCTGGTTTATATGGTCCACCAGTGACTGAACTTTTCCTAGTTTTTTAAAAGATAAATACTCTTTGTCTACTTGAATGGCCACTCCGGCTGAGTCGTATCCTCTGTACTCCAGCCTCTTGAGCCCTGCTGTTAGCATTTGAAGAATTTCCTTTTTTTTTGCCGGCTTGCTGTAGCTGCAGTATCCAAATATTCCACACATACAAAATAGAAAAACATCGTATATTTATATTTTTGTAATATTTTTATCAGAGCTTTTATTGGTCTACTATCTGCTGTTTTATTGGTGTGTTTGTTTGTTTTAGAATTTAGTGGTTGATTTTCACTTGTGCATTGCGCCTGGAGATTCCACTGCGGTTTTGTCTTGGAAGTGACCGAATGAGATTGATCTGTGTGCAGCAGAAAGGCTGATTCTTCTGTGCTAAGAACCTTCTTTTGTTTGATTTTCAGCCATCGCACTAGTTTAGACAGGAATACAGCCCAAGAAAGGGGGAGTGAAACCTTATCTTTCTACTCTGCCAAAAATGCCAACTTCGAACAGAAAAAGTTTTTATGTGTTGGCAGAAGTGCCACTTGGCAATTACCATCAGGTCTTACTATTATGTGGCTCTTTTGCTAGATGGTCATTATATGGCATTAAAGGCTGGTCTATGATTGAGCTTATTGCAGTGCAGAGACTCGCTCCGTTTTTATTTCCATTTAGATACCTGAACTCTTTTAGCTTCTAGAGCTTACTAGTACAAGACTCTTTCTATCCATTAGGCTTAATTCTGAGAATAAAAAATTAAAAGCCCCTGCCGAAAAGAGAAATAAGTAAATATAAAAGTGAAAATATTTTAATTTTTATGATCCTAAGAGTTCTAAAAAAGGTAATAGTAGCAGGAGTCGTTGCTCTAAGCTATTTACAGAACGCTAGCTGTGAACTAAACCAATATGAGGTAAAGGAGATAAAAAGCTACTGGAACAACAGAATATCCTACTTCGACAAAGAGATTGATCTACGTCAATGTTTCTTTAGTAGGATTAAAATTCTTAGCCCTAATACAGAAGCACTAAATTCAGATATTTCGTGTGAGAAAAATATCAAGACAGAAGAGGCGCTGGATGCCATGACGGAAGAGTTTGAATACCTTAAAAATAAATCACGGGAAGTTATAAATCTGGCAGACTCAATAATAAACATAAGCGAGAATTATTTGAACAATAAGGCTTACTCTTTTGATGAGGCCCAAAAAAAAGTACTTATAGCTAAAATTAAAGACAATTCAGACGAACTGAGCATGCGGATTATACCCGTCCTTGATATTAGCACTTCGCTAACCAAGAAAATAAACAACTTTGATTCGCATATGATGGAAGCAATACAAGATGATCTTAAAGCAGAGAGTGGCGAGCTGGAAAATCTAACTCTGTTCAAGCTCGCAAAAAGTAAGATCTTAGCTGCTGATATAGTGTACAATGTCTTTAAAATAATCATACCACATCTGCAGGAGGAAAATATAGAATATATAGTAGATTCTATGTGCAAAGAATTGCCATCGCATGTTATTTCAAAGGATAGTGTAGAGCGCTTCCTAGGTGACATTAAAAAGGATGCAGTTAAAACCCGTAAGGACTTGCTAGTATCAGCCTCCAAACACTTCTATTCGTTATTCAACATAAACCCAATGGGCAAGTATAGATCATTTTTAGTAGACTATGAAACAATCAATACATATCTTAACTTACTAAACGAGAATCTTTCAGAAGAAAAAGTAAACGAATACGTATGCACTATTAAGTCTGATCAAGTCATAAAATTAATAGTAATAGAGTATATAATGAGTGGACATCTTATTGACTACAAAAA